TTACTGAAAAGAATTATGCTTTAATGTATCAGTTACCAATTAGCATAAAAGATTTTTTTTTAACTCCTTTCTTTCCTCCCTGCCATTGTACCACCCCCCAAAGAATATTAGCATAGACCTTGAAAAATCCACTCATCCATAACAAGTAGGAAGCTTTCCTGGCAAGTGCCATCAACTTCCACAGAATTTAAAAGAATTATATTTCTAGTTCTTATAGTTCTAGATAACCTTCCAAATTATAACTAAACGTAAGACAATGCAATGCTATTTTCCTATGTCTGCAGAGAATAGTTCCAATACCCCTCATGTTGCTCCTAGTTTCACTCTGCTGCCTTGGGAAAGCTAAGACTGACCACCTTTGCAATTCCATTCAGAACTCTTTGGGAAACAGTTAAACTGACAAGTATCAGGTCAATTTCATACTGCTGTAGCTCAGCAAAGCTGAGCAGAGGCAGACACTGGGGGAGTAGTCAAGCAGAAACTTGACAAGAAGCAAAGTGGGGGCTGACCTGCCCCTGGGAGCTAAAAAACTGAGGAAACATTAAGATAGAGATAATGCCTCCACTACATAAGCAAAGAGCTTGAGGAAGGGGTAGAGTAGGACGGACCCAACCCACTTTCACAGTGCAACACAGCTCTGGAGGGGATGCGAGTGCAGAGGAAAAGGCCTCAGAAGAATGCGCCTTTCCAGCAACCCAAACAGGTTTGGCCATAGAGGGGGGGTGTAGTAGATTTATTGAACTCCTGCTGGGCTGAGGAGAAGAGAGGAGTAGTAGTGCTGGAATTTAGTTTCACTTGAGCACTGTTCCTGGACAGTAGCTCTTTTCCTCCCCGACCTCATTGTCACCAGGGTATAACTAGGCTTTAGTCCTCCAGACTAGTGGCCAGCAAAATTACAATCCAGGTGTTTAGGGATAGGGACAAATGTATTGTTTGGATGAGTGGAAGAGTACTGTGGTGCATGTATATACAAGGAAAGAGAAAGATGTGACAGAAGAAGGGAGAAAATATGGGGAAGGGAGAACACAATATAGGAAAAGATCAGGAAGAGCAAAAACGACAAACAATAAAAGGAACAACAAGGAAAAAAGCTTGGAATGATGTCAAAGTATGACAAAAGCAAGGGCATTTACATTTAAATTTGCAACATATATTTAACAAGTTGTAATATACACATCAGGGTTTGTGGCTTTGGAGGCCACAGCTACAGGAGCAAGGCAGCATATGTATTGTTCACTCTGGCTCACAGGTTTCAAGTAAATTTTTCCAAGTTCTAAATTAGCAAGTACAAGGGCAATGGCAGAAAAAGCACTGCACACTTTGCCTCCCTTCTTGGGGCACACTAGATCAAACATAACAGTCACCAGCCAAATTCTGGTCAGACTGACATGGTGAATCAATGTTTAAATGGTTAATGCTGCATTTAGTCAGTTATGGTGTCACTGTAGGTGGACATTCCCACTAAGATTTCCATGTAACCCAAATGGAGAGAAACTTTCCCTATAAACAAACAGTAGTAACCGTACATAGATTCCACTCTGCTCCACAATCACCCATTCAAAACTCCATTTGAGGCTAGTGCAGTGTCATTGTCATGTGACAGACAATGAAATGGATTGGATTTGATGTAATGCAGCCAATCTAAAAATGAACATTACTTCAATGGAAAATGGAGCTATTGAACTGGTTATAGTATTGCACAGGACTTGCCTATACAACAGCTGCTATTAAAAAAAACTTTGCTACTTTATTGCAATAATATCAACCTTATCTCAAGAAAATAAAAAACATCCTATTCCTAGAAGGCAATAGCAAGAAATTTAATGTAACCATTTCCTTTTTGAAGTATGAATGCCAGATTTAAAATGCAAAAAAGCAGATATACAGAGATATTGGATCTCAACATTAATTTCTCTTTTCAAGAATTAGAGAAAGATTCTCAACCCTGCTCAAGGTGTAGTGAGCAATATATCACTAGAAGGAATTATTCCAATAATTACTTTTGGGAGACCCACACTATTCTAACAGCAGGTGCTGACTAGGAAACTGTTGAGTTTTGAGCTCTGGTCAAGTGTAGTATCCTTCCTGAAGTCACTTCATTTTCCTGAAGAAGTTGCATAACTTGAGTTATACTGCACACAATAATGGCATCCTCTGCATTACTGTGAAGGAACAAACGGGCCAAAACATGGAGCTGCCATATTGAAATTCACCAAAGCTTCTAACAAAAATAATACATACATTCTGTATTTAAAGCTTTAACATATAAATAGTGTGGCACTGATCCTGAATATGCTATGTTCAAATACCGCTGTCAGACCAGTTACCAAAACATCAAATATGACTACAGCTACAACATTTAAGAGGGCCAAGCGTGCTATATGACCCATTTTGGCATCAGATGGATTAAATGATGTGTTGCTACAATAAAAAGGTTTAGTAGAGTAAGTTTTAGTTAATAAATAATTCTTTACCATTTCATTTAACAGTTTGTTACAAAATTAGATTTTGCTTTAAGATAAAATTCTCTGAATATTAGGATATATGTCACAATATTGAAAGACTAAGAGCTAAATATATACAGCTTGACTGAGTGATCATAAATGCCCATATTCTCCATATAGGCAGCCCATTGGGCCGACATGGAGCCCCACTTTAGTCAATGAGGTCTGCCTATGAACAGCCCCATTAAAGGATATGGGTGTAAGGTGGCTCATGATAACCATTCAAGAGTATTTGAAAGTACAAATAATTTCTCCCTTCTCAGTGTTAAGTCTAAGGTAGTATAATTAGAAGTAATGGAGTAAAACTAAGACAAGCGCATTAAGACTATTATGAAACAAAAAAACCTTCCAGATAGTGAGATAGGGGCAAGTCATTGTTATGAAGCTTTGCGCGCAACAGAAGCAAGACCGGCGACTCCAATATTGGAAGAACCAATCCAGCCTCACCTCAGAGTAGGAGAGAGGCGGACACTCCAGATCTAGGGCTTTAAGGCTAGGTCTACGCTATCCGCCTGAATCGGCGGGTAGAAATCGATCTCTCGGGGATCAAATTATCACGTCTCATCGGGACACGACAATCGATCCCTGAATCGACGCTCTTACTCCACCAGCGGAGTAAGCGCCGTTGACGGGGAGCCGCGGAGGTCAATTTTGCCGCTGTCCTCACAGCGGGGTAAGTCGGCTCCGATAGGTCGAATTTGCGTATCTTAAATCGACCCCACCCCGTAGTGAAGACCTGCCCTAAGAGTTTGTGTGTTTGGAGGAATAAGTAAGACCAGAAGAACCAGTATGAAGAGCAAAGAGCAGACTGCATCGATGGCTTCGAGGCATATCAGCGTCCCGGGCAGATTCACGTCTCATGGACGCTACACGGGTGCCAGGCCGCTCCGGGTGTTGGCTATTCCTGCCACGCCACCTGAGGCGAGTCAGGCTCTTCCCAGCGGCAGACAATTCTGTTGGGAGACCCCGGGCTCTGCTCTGCTCGGGAACACAGCAAGTGGCTGGCTGGGGGAGGCGCCCACCCAGTCACCCGAACCGGTGTCTCCAGAAACGCTCGGCTCGCCG